AAACAGTCGAAGAAGAAGCTTCTCAAACTTTTCTCGATTGACTCTATTCCTCAAATAAAAAAACCTTGTGTTTTGGGTATTAATTCCAAGTAGATTAAAAAACAGTTAAAAACTAATAAACAGGAAACTAAACTGAATTCTCGGCAAAAGAAACTATAATTTCATAAAATCTAATTTAAAGATTGCTTACAGCGGTCCTTCGCCGTGTTCTCAAAATAACCAAAATCATTTATTTGTATCAGTGCCTATACTATAGTTACCGTTGAAGGTCTGTACAGCTGCAGTTTATTTGTACTGCGACAGTCCTCTAAGCCAATTAACCCAGCAGCCTTTGTAAAAAACTATTAGATACATAACGTCGCGCCATAAAACTTCATCAAATAATGGAAAAACCAAGTCCGGCTAGATACGCTGATGTGTCATTTGATTGCCTCTTTGACATTGTCTAGTAATTGGCAGCTTCTAGCGGAAAGCCTGTTCTAGAAGTTTTGTCAAGGAAAGAAAGTGTTGATAGAGTTCCATGATTCGCACTGAATTTCTTGCTTTTAAAAAACGTTTTTTTTCTACCTCATCTAACCCTTAAGAAAAGTTGGATGGTAATATCTATTTAGAGGACAATCTATAGAAAAAAATTTCTTCATTACCAAATAGCACCAAAACGGCTACTTTTACTACTCTCTTTTTCCTCCAAACTTCCCCGCACCACAAATACTTCTTTGACAATTTTACGTTCTTCACTTTGCCCTCTTTATTCCATTATTTATTCCTCTGATTTTCTGTTTTAGTTTCTGTTTTTTCCCCCAGGTAGTTTAAAAGTTGTGCTCAAATTAAATTAAATGGTTTCGATTTCCCAATCAGTTTAATGAAGCAAAGAAAAAAAGAATCAATGAGAAAAAAGTTCTGCTTTATGGCACTTAGTGACCACTTAATTATGATTAACGTAAGTTAAGGCGATGGATAAAGGTTTATAATTTATGTTTGTGTATAAGTATTTGAGTATGTGTATGCGTTGATCAATATATTATTATAAGAAAATTATGTTTGGCTTTGCAAAACTTTTTACACAGAGTTAATAAACGGCAAAATCTTAAAAAAGAAACCTTGATTTTTTTTTGAAAAACTAATAAAAGTTAAGAAACGCAGTTTAATATATACATTTCAATGTTGACGTCTAATTGTACGGAACAACACTGTTTCTTTGACAAGCAAATAAACAGAATTTTTTTCCAAGTCCCTCCGTTTTCTTACCTAACTTGTCGTGCACAATTAAGCATAGCTGAAGCGACAGGTCGGCATCAAATACAACAGTTCGATAAACTATAGCTACACTAAATGATAGACACGACCGCAACAACTCGTAATAACAACAAAAACTGCCGAAAAATACGTGTAAAAATAAGTGATCCAAAAAATGATAGATTATTTCAGACTCTTTTTTGCCTGGCTACAAAAAACTTGTAAAACTTAATCAGAGAAAATTGCTTATTTTCTTATTCGCCAATTCTGGTCTCAGGAACTGCTCAACCTTCTAAACTACAAATTTTCTTTGCTACCTTTCATTTGCGATCTGCTTCCGCTTGGCAATTCTCTTTATCACCTTATCTGAAGAAGTGTAACAGTGAATCAGCAATGGCTTCTTGAACAATGTGAGAAATCTGAAACCAGACAACTCCACTCAATGTTTGTCAAGTTTTTACACCTAATTAACAGCTAAAGAACCAAGTTTAGTACCTTTTTCAAGCAAACAATAATTGGCAACAGCGACAAAACTTCTTCGCAGTTTGCTCCATTAACGTTAAAAAAAAAACTATCTTCTGTTTTGCGAAAATTGCAGCTCAGCAGCTTCTTGCAAGTGTTTTTAAAACAAACTTTGTTTTATCCCTTTACCTGTCTTTTTCCCTTTTATTTTTTTGAACCCTCCTCCTCCCCATTCTACTCTTAATAATGTTCTGTTGTTTCTAGTTTGTACTTTTCACTTAAACAGGCCGTTATTTTTACAGCTTGACTTTTTGTTTTCATTTGGTTGCAATCGACAGATCGACAAACACTGCAGAAAGTTGCAAGACAGACAACTGCAACAGTACCCAAAGTAACTTTTGTTTTTCAAATAATAAAGGTAATTTGCAAAAAAAGAAATCAAAAAATAAATAAATAAATAAAAACAGATAATACTGATAAAAGTGCAGAAGCGACAACAGTGTCAAAAGTGTTGTTAGCGAAATTCTGCAAGCCATCAAACTTGCCTTCTAAAAACAACGACACTTCAAGTAAACTGTAGAGATGAATTAAAAACTGTTTCATTTACGTTTATCCGCTTTCAGGGCCACCCCTCGTCCTCCTTCCAAGAGGTATAAGTGTTCTTCATCACAGTTTTTACCCGCCTTTCCTCCCGCTTTCCCGGCATCCTTTTACATCCTTTTTCTGTTCCGGACAGAACCGGACTGCACGTAAACAAAATTAAGATCATTAAAGCCAATTTTTTTTATAAATGAGGCATTAATCCGATAGCTTCCTATAGTTAAAACAACTTATCCTATCAATATATGCACTCTAAAGAGGTTTCGGAAAGTACAAAAAAATTTTTTTCTTTTAAAGTTCTTTATAAAGTTAAAAAAATGTATGAAAAAAAAACATTACTGACACATGTTCACACCTCATAAGTCCGGCTTCTCAGAAAAAAAGCACAAAAATTCCACTTCTTGAGAAGGAAGTTTGAAGAGCATTATATCAGTTGCGAAAAACACTTCTTTTTTTAGACAAAAGGTTTCAAAGATGATATATGTACCCAGTCATAAAACATATAAACATTCTTTTACAAGTGTACAATGCATATTCAAAGAAAGGTGTAAAAATATTTAACAAAGTCAGACAGCAATTACGCAAGCAGTTCAATCGACGACAGCTTTGTAGCATTATAACCCTTAACAGAATGACCAACAGAATGAATGATGGAGCACAAAATCACTACGGAATACGTATCATACCTCAAGTACCAAATAAAAGTTGAATGAAATCCTGTTAACAAAACCTATGCAGTTGGTGCTAAAAAAAAGTCAAAGAAGAAAATATTTTTAAAAAAAGTTTTTGCATGCTGAATCAAATCTTAGGTTCTCTTTTCAAGCAAAACCAGTTGCAAAAGTTCAGTTTAAACCTTCGACAAATTTCTATCCAAACTTCATATCTGTTCTAGTTTTTACTTTTTTTTCTTTGCTCTTGTCATCTTTCGCTGTAAACTCCACTGCCTTACTGATGACAGCATCATAGGTTAACGACCAGCTTAACAACCTAAGCGCTTAGAAGCCTTAATGTCATCTATACCAATAATGTTGACATCTAGACTTATGCTTACATTTTGTATCAGTTGACTATTCATTAATTTTAATAATAATAATGCTAACAATAATAATTATTACTATATTATAATAATTATATTATTATGATAATAATAAAAGTAAAAATAACAATAATATCGTATTGTAACATATCGCGAAAAATAAAAGCAATATTTATTGTGATATTATTTATAAAAAATCTTGGTAGTCTTAACAAAAAAAATTAAACAAATAAGTTTTTATAATCTCTTAAACTTTGCTAAATAAGATCCTACGTTTGCAACAGGAAAGAAAATATGCATACATGAATAAATAAAAAATAAAAATAATAAAAATAATAAGAACTAACTTTTGAAAGAAGAACGCATCGTCGCGATCCTCATAGACTGCAGCTCGATTTCCAGACAAATCAAAATCTTCGTCTGAACTGTAGGAAGAAAGGTAAATTACTGGATAGTTTTCATAGCCCTTCTGAAGCATATCACTTGCAAGCATTTTTAACAATGGTTTAGAAGATACAGAAGCATCCGTGAAAGGATTGTCGCGATATTCCATCAATATGGAACAGTGATAGCATATTTTTGGAAGCATCACTGACAGCGGATCGAAATCACCGACTGTGTCATCCTTCAGCTTTTCCTTTTTCCCAATTTTGGCCTTTCGTGAATCAGCTGATGATGACCGTGAACTCCCAGCACCAGTAAAATGCTTGTCAACGACTGGCGAACTTGTTTTGAAGGTAAGTTTGTTGGAACCGTAAGCGGCAGATGGAAAAAGTTTACCCTTGTACCCGCTTTTTTCACTACCTCTTAACAGATCTCGTTTTATTAACAAACATTCCACATTGTCATCCTTATTTATAGCATCACATGAATCAGGCAAAATGAGTGCTTCAAATGCATCCTTCTGTAAGGAACCTGAACCAAGACGATTAGAAGACATTAGCGCATTTTCGCTTTCGCATAGGTCCGAATCACTGGAATCAAATGACAATTCAGTACCGTCTTTTGTCTCGTCATGCACTACGCAATCGTCAATTAGACTGAATTCATCCCTCACCTCGACATCACCTACCGGCGAATCATCAACACTGTAATCTTGCAGCAGTTTTGGACATCCAGCAGCTTCTGATAATTTTCTGTTATAAGCTAAATCAATAGACGCGAGTTCCTTTAATCCCCTTCTCGTCTCCTCTTTGCCGTAATCAACTGATTTTCTTGCAAGAGGTTCACCTTCAACCACTGCAATATGCTGCGCGGAAGTTCCTGGTTCTGTATGATGCAAGGTACAAAACTCTTCATTGTGAAGCTTCTTAGACAGTTTTCTAATCCGTGGTGTATTAGGCGGTGTAAAAATTTTTCCATCAACAATGTCCTGTTCATTGGCCCGTAAAAAAGATGTTCGATCAGTATCATATTTTGCCGATACTGATGTTTCGGCAATTTCATCACGCGGTGTACCCCCAGAATATACCGGGGCTTTTCTCAGTAAACGATCTGCACTAACAGCTCTGTGAAAAGCAACTTGTTTAATTTTTTCTGGTTCACGGCTTCCTTCATCCGGTTCCGATGTCGTTACTGATGCTGTTGATGACGATTTGAAAAGATTCCGCAACGATGGAAAAAACTTTAAACTTATTGGTTTCTGGTTCGGTGAATTAGAACGATGCCGTGAAATTTTTCGAAGATAAAAAAAATTTGACCTTTTTTGTTTCATCGATTACTTCCGATCCAGATCTGTTGGGAATAATGCAAAAGCATTCGGGCCATACTCCGGTAAAGAAATTAAAAAAATAGATCCCTTGTTAAATACAAGCCGTCCTCGTGATAGCGAACTGCATAGTTTATCCTCTGTGTAGAAGCAAAAAAAAAAATACCTCTTCAATCAGCTAAAAACGAAAAAGACTTGCTTGCACTGTTACCTTAACGGGCTTCTCTGTGCTGAGGAGGAGGATGTTGGCGGAGCTAAGCAAACGCATCGCCCCGCCTACGGACCATATATAACTGGGGCATCCTGGATGCCACGCCTCTGTTTGGTTATCAATTAAGTTCGTAAAAAGGGGACGGGGGAAGTTGGAGTGAAGGATGGTAGGGTGGGGACGGGGCCGGGAAAACAAAGTATAAATGAAGGCTAGGAAAGGAAAAATTTTTTCCCGTAACATTTTCTTAGTTCCTTTGGAAGTTTTACTCACTTAAGTAAAAGAAGGCTCTGATGTTTTGCCTATTTCATTAATGGACCAAAAAGCAAGGTGCCAACACCAAGAATGAAGAGAGAATTAAAACGATCTACCTTTATAGGTGACAGAGCTCTGCGCTTGTTGATCAGTTTTTGTCAGCGTACTATTTTGGCACCTTTGAGTCCATCGTTACTGAGGCTAATAACAGGATGAAAAAAGTCGTATTGTCGGGCCAGAAAAGTTTTATGCAGGAATTAGTTCCAATATCTTTTATTTTATTAGTGGTTATGCAGAAATGAACGGAAAAAATACGAAAAAGAAAAACAAAACATGCCTTGGCATTGGATACGTTGGTGCGCCCGTAAGCTTGTAGAAACTCTAAGGTGGAGTGAGCGAGGGCGAAACATAAGAGAGTAAACTTCAGTTTTTTTATTGCACTTTACCTCTTATCCATTCAGAGATAATTTTTGTCATTTGCTAAAGAAAAAAAAAAGAAATTTTTAAATTATGCTTTGCTTATGCTTTTTTTTCATTTGGCTCTTCTGCAGTTTTGATTTTCCTGCTCTTTTCAGACGATGGAGTAAAAAATGGGGAAGAAAAGTGGTGGAGGCATGGAAAAGCAAACTTTTAGCAAAAAAATGTTGATATTCTATAACTGCTGAAAGTGAAATTTTACTCAAAATTACTTTAGAAGTTGTGTAATTTGACTTTGCTATGGTCTCGCTGCATTATTTTTCATAAATACTTAAGTTCTGTTCTTTCTTTTCCTTGTAATCTCATTTTTGTTTTTTTTTTTTTTGATACATATGCAGCAGCGCTTATCCATCTATTAACCAAAAACATATGTCAATACAGAAAAAAGAGCTAGAGAACAGATAATAGAGGTTTAATTTGTCAGAAAAAATTATGGAAAACTCTTAAATAACAACTTAAGAAATTTTTTTACAGTTTTGAACTAAACTTTTGATTATTGTTTCTGTTGCTTCAAGGTTTCATTGCTGCTTTTTTTCATTATTACTTTCTTCGCTTTTTCTTTTTCTGCAATTTGACTTCACTTTTCTTTTTGCCTAAATATTTCTCCTTCTCATCACTATACAGATTTCAAGAGTATTGAAGAAAGGTGAGGAGAAGAGGGTATACCGGTTAGCGTAGAGCGCTGGACAATGACGGCAATAGCACTAGTTTTTGCAGAAGCAGAAGCCGAAGCCGAAACAGTAGTAGTCAGTTTGCTTAATGGCGGTTAACTTAATGGAAATTTTTTTAAAAAATTAAAAAACTAGGAAAAAAACAACAACAGCAACAAATAGACTAAAAAAACCATATCTCTAGCTAAATTGAGATAATCTTATTTGAAACGGAAGCATACTGCCAGTAATTCATTTAGAGTGTAGAAAAGATTTTCTCTTCACCGTTCAAAATCTCAATAATTTGATGCCATTTAAAATGAGCCTATATAGAAGTATGTTGGGGAAACAGAAAGGGAGAACACTCAAAAAAAAAAGCGAAGCATTAGAAAATAAAAATAAAGCGGAAGAAAAAACAAAACCCGTTTTGTATTTATTTTTTTACCGAAAATTCTCCGATAACTCCGGATACATACGTTGAAGTTGCGCATTTGTTAAATCCGTCTCTGACAACGATTTACGCGGTGGACAAAATGTTCCTCTAGGCCGTTTTAATCGACTGTTATGACCACAGCCATCTGTAAACAAAAAATAACAAAAAGACTTGAATAGCAGGCTAAAATTGTTTTTGATCTCAAAGCTTTGGTAATTATTATTTGGTATACCTCTTTTATCTCCAAAACTTGTCAGATGTCACTTTTTGTAAATCTTACGTCCTTTCCTATTCGATTCAAAAAGCGTTTCCTGCCACTAACCTGCCCTCCATTCTTCAAATAACTGCGTTTTCATCACAAACAACCCTATCTCTTTATCAATTACCATTGTATCCATTCAACTTGCTTTCGCTCCTTTACTTAACTATGCAATTTAAGTCATTATCAAATATCAAATTCTTTGCTCGTTTTGCCCTTCAAAATTTTTTTTGTAATAGACCATTACAAAAGAGCTACTCAGGAAACAAATTAGTTCTTCAGAACTGAAAGTACACAAAGAATTCAAAAACAAATAAAAAAAAGCACCTTATTACTCATAACGGTTACACTTTAACCTTTTTTGTTGTTCTTGTTGTTTTTTTCCGATTAATAACAACTCAAAGTTCTTTTCTTTCATCCCTTCTTAACCACAGCTTTTCCGCCTCCCCCTCCCTCCTCTTAGAGTGCTTCATCAAAAGTGGTACGCAAACAGTGTTTACCAGCTATCTGAAGTTAACAATGATCAATAAAATTATGATGCAAGAAAAAAGAGGAAGAAAAAAACCAGTTGTTTATCAGTATATTAACTCAATTCTGCCTTAAAACTGCTATCAGTACTAAAACCATTATTAATACCAGCAAACACAGCAGCAGTATCAATGGTGCCTGATATTACTCATGATCAAAAACACTGTACAGCTTACATCGCTAACGGATTGCATTGGAGCCCCTATTTTTTTCTTTTTGATCTAAGCAGCACCAAATCGCATTGTTTCTGCTTTATTTTAGCCTCTTCAACGAAGACTTACCACAGCTAATTTTTCCATCTACATTAGCGCCACATTTTCGGCTAATTTGAGTGATGGAATTTTTGACTTTTGCTGTTTCCCTTGTTTCCGTTGCCATCGACGCTGCTGCCGTTTCTGTTTTCCATTCTACTGCCTCTGCCGTTTCTGGCGTTACTTCCGTAATGGTGACTGTTGCTGCTGATGACGGTACGGATGCGAGTGCAGAGGCAGATGAAGGCGGTGATGCTGATGTTGACGATGTTGATGATGTTGATGATGTTGATGATGGCGATGATGATGATGATGATGATGATGATGATGACAATGATAATGATCGCGAACGGCAACTACAAAATTCGGAACCAGAAGTTTCATCAACTTCGCCATTCAGCGATACGATATCACGGTTGGAAGTTACCCGCCACACTATTGCATGAATTGCAATTGCACCAACCAAATGTCTAGATATATGCGTAAGATTCTGCAAAAACAAATTATCGAAAAAAAAATTAAGGTAAAAAAAATTGCTGCAGAAATTGTTGTCAAAAAGAAAGG